CAATATCCTACTTAATAACTGTTTTCCTATCAATTTTATTTTTTCGACTATACATAATAGGCTTAAGTTTTTAATTCATAAAAAATCTAGTGACATTAATTTAATTAGTAATTGTTCAAACAATATTTATGACAATAATGACTTTAAGACTTTTTTTACTATTCCTTACATTCCTTCGGTTTATAAAGATTTTAACTCCATAGCCAGAAGCTTCAATTTAAAATTATCATGTTCAATTCCTAACAATCTAACACAATTCATACGGACGGGCAAAGACAGTTTAAATAAATTTTCACATTGTCAGGTTGTTTACATGATATCATGTCGAGATTGTGAGAAAACTTACGTGGGTCAGACAAAAAGACAGCTTAATACTAGAATCAAAGAACACAAGAATGACATAAAAAAGAGCTGTTCCCCCTCTGTTATATCCAAACATAAATTGGATTTTTCTCACGATTTTGACTGGGACAATGTGAGAATTCTGGACGGAGAACCTTCTTATGGAAAGAGATTGATATCTGAAATGGTGTTCATAAAAAGACAACGTGCAGACTTGAACAATTAAAATGACACAGAACGGTTACCGGACTCTTATCTCCCTATTATTAATTTGTTTCTCCCGTTATAATTGTATCGTTTTTCTTTTCATATATTAATTCCTGTTTTCCCCTCCTAGGTACTTATACCCTCCCCTCCATACTCCTTTTTCTTTCCGTCCCCCTTCTCCACCGCCCTCTCACTAATCTTTCATCGCTTGAATTTATCGTTATTCTATCACGTACATTGAGGTTTCAACCATCACATTATATGGTTCTAAGTTTTTTCTCCTACCTCGTTCCATCTTATGTGGATGAGCTTTCTACTATGTTTAACACAAGTATGTAAAAATTGTTTCTTTTTTCTGTTTGCGCTCAATTTGTAACGGGAATTTTCTCATTTGGCTCTTTTTTATTACAGTTTAACGTGGTTTTAACTACTCTTCAGTTAATTATGTCAATTTACTTCGTTTTTTGTATTTAATTTTTGCGTTGCGTATTGATTGGTTTTTTTAATAACATTGATAAAGGCCTGATGACAGGCTGAAAACGTTTGTTCTTTAATGTATTGTTTCAATGGTTATAAATTAATACACGATAACCTTCGCACGAATATCTGGCTGTTGGCTCTTTACGCTCCTATCAAATTTATTGATTTTAAAAAATCATCAGAGCCTGATACATCTATAATTTATAAAATTTAATATTTTTCATTAAAAATATATATAACAAAATATAAAATATTTAATTTTCGATAATTCTCTCTTAATATTTTTTACATACACATGTCCGTATAGAATTTGACGTTGCAATGTTCGGAAAAGATCTAAATGTTCACAGAAAATGATATTCAATAGAAACTCAATGTTTTATATCCAAAATTATATTAACATAAATTTTTTAAGCACTGCTAATCTGGACATTTAAATATGGAAGTTAT